TCAAGGTGTGGTTCAAGTCAGGCAATATTCTCATCGCTCCTGTCTGTTCTATTTTATTATTCATTCATAAAAAGTAATCAATTTTCCATCATATATACAATCATAGACTAAGTAGAAAACTGTTCCTAATAATTCCAATCTCATGTCTGATAATATAATTGTTTGGCAGCAACAATGTCCAAGACAAATTAAAGCAGCTTATATAATAATACAATTTAACAATATGGTAACAAAACTTAATGCAGCACTGTTGTTACTTAAAAGAATCAGCAGTGATGTTACTTAAAAGAACCACCAGTGATGTTACTTAAGGAACCAAAAGTATTATTACTTAAAGAGCAACCACTGTTGTTACTTAGAGCTTGTTGTTACTTAAAGAACAAACACTGTTGTTACTTAAATAGCAACCACTGTTGATATTTAAAGCTTGCTGTTACTTAAAGAACAACACTGTTGTTAATTAAAGAATGGCAAAATTGTTACTTAAAAAACCAGCCACTGTTGTTATTTAAAGCTTTGTTACTAAAAACAAAGTGTTTTAATTAAAGAACAAGCAATTGTTTACTTAAAAACCAGAATGTTTTTAAATTTAAGAACCAAGGGTGTTGTTACCTTATCCCAAAGGGAAGAAGTGTTATATTACTGTAAAAAGCGAAAGACCAGAATGTTTTTTTTAAGAACCATTTTTTAAAAAAAAAAAAAGAATTTTTTAAATTTCTTTTAAAAACATTTTTTGTTGTTATTTTATGACCCAGCAGTATTGACACCTCAAGAACTAAACAAACAAAGTTATCGAAAACCATGTTGAAAGTGAAAAAAATCTTCATGTATACAAGTTATTTTTAAAGAATAATTATAAACAGACATTGGGATGTTTTTAATAAACTATAAATAATTTATGGTTCTAAAAAATTAAGTCACATTTTAGTAACACACCTGCAATATTACAAATAAAAACTTAGTCAATGTCTACTTTGTCACTAGTCTCTGCAAGAAGTTTCCGAACATTTTTTCAATATACTTTATTTTTTTCTTCTCTTTTCTCTTGAATAATTTATAAATCAAAAAATATTTAAAAAAAAAAAAAACAATTTAAGAGTGAGATATGATATATATCTTCATTCTCAACTGATTGGTTCAAATGTCGTACTTGAAAAACATGCAGTCTATTCCACAGAGAGGAATACTTTCTTCTCTTATAAATAACAAAAGCTTACGGAAGCTTAATTTTAATGAAATATTTTAACAAGGTATTGCAAAACAATTTACATATCAGTTGCAGACAGAATTTGAGACTCTTAACGGAGCTAAAAACAATTTTGCAAAATAAATAACAGCATTTTATCTGTCTATTATTTCAAACTGTCTTTTCCTTTTCAATTTTCAGAAAGGAATTCCACAAAATTAACATTTACTTAAAAAAATTTTGGATCTTAAATATATTAAATCATACATTAATTTTATCTGAAATAATTTTAATATTAGGTAATTTTATCTGAAATAATTTTAATATTAGGTAATTTTATCAGTCTAGTTTAAGATAAATTAGCTACATTAGTTCTTTAAATCATCTTTCTTCAAGTAAAATGATTTGCAGTATATAATTCAAAACATTTAACTACTAGTAAAATCATTACCAGTAGACCTGATCAAGTTTCATGGGTTAATCAACATTTGTTTTTGTGGGTTTTTTTCTCTTACCTCTTTTTAAGAGTTGTCTTCATTTTTTTTTGCATTTGTCATGCTATTAATTCCCAAGTCTATCTAAATTAAAGCAATATTTTTAGACCAAATTTATATGTTTGAGGTGTGTGTGTGTGTGTGTGTGTGTGGGGGGGGGGGTAATATTATCATTTTATTTTTTTGTCACTTCCATTAATCTTTAAATGAGCCGCGTCATGACAAAACCAATGTAGTGCGTTTGCATCCAGCATGGATCCAGACCAGCCTGCTCATCCGCGTAGTCTGATCAGGATCCATGCTGTTCACTATCAGTTTCTCTACTTGTAATAGGGTTGGTAAGCGAACAGCATGGATCCTGATCAGACGGCACGGATGCACAGGATGGTCTGGATCCATGCTGGTCGCAAACGTACTATGTTCATTAATCTTTAAATATGTTTTTTTGTGTTACTTTTCTCAGAAAACTATCCGGAAATATATATTATAAAAGTTAGACTTTGAGGGAAGAGCTGTTGCTAATGTTGTAATAACTAGTCACTAGCCCAAACAATTTGCACTATACTTATATGTACTTTTGGTTTGCTATATTCATATTTTACATGACTTGTATTATATAGTTGCAATAAAGTATTATTAAACTAAAACTTTTTAAACAGCGTGAATTATTAAAACAAAATAATCTTATTTTGAGAAACAGCTTAAAGGTAATTTCAGGCAGAATTAAGATATTGTAAAAGCCTTTAAAGTAGATACTAGAAGTACAGCTATATAATAAATAAGAAATAATTTCTGACGTCTAATTAACAATGTACTGAAGAACACTGTGAAATTACTCTTTTGTTGATATTATTTATTACCAGCATCTTTTAAAACAGCCTTAATATAATATTCATTTTCACAAAAATCCATTTCTGAGATAATTAAAACGAGAGAATTTCATGATTTTTTTCTCCAGTTTTGATAATTACTTGTGACGATCAATTCTACAGCTTCAAAGATTATTTTACTCTTGAGGGAGAAATAAATACTCATCTCTTTTTCTTTGCATAACATTAATTTCAACAACACAAGACATTTAAGAAATTTTACATATATTTAATGATGCTAACAATACTGATCATTAAGAATAGAATATTAAATATTAACATACTCAGGCAAAATTTATGTATGCAGAATTTTCATGATGATTGAATTTACAATGCAAAGCCTACTTAAGACTAACCCTGATTAATACCATCTAACTATTAAGACCACCTTGCTTAATTCAATTTCAATATTTATGCATTAACGTCTCTAAAACCTTAAAAATACATTTATTGTTCATCTTTCAATAGAAATTTTTATGTATAACAATGTCACATCATTGGTCCTGATTGGTTAAAATCTTGTTTCAAAGCAATTAAGTTAATTAGTTAACAGTTAAAATTAGTGGGGAAAAAATCTAAGTAATCTCAGTTTCTACAACTGATAAAAATTAATGCATATTTTTTTCCGCAAAATAATACTTTGGAAGACATCCTTTTTAAATTTCAGAAGCACTTTAAGCTTTGCTTATAAAGTTAGTAAATATTGAATTTTATGGGAATTTATTGGGTTAAAGATTGGGGGGAAGTAAAAAGGTACTGGGCTCAGTATGTAGTGGGTGCCATGTTTTTCTAGGTGATTGAGGGGGGAGCCGTACTGGGCTCAGAAGGTAGTGGAGCCGTATTTTTTTTTGTCTGAAATAGTAAATACAAAGGAAGGCTTGTTTAAATCAAATCCTTTGATAACAATAGATCTCTTTTTTTTTCCCTGACACTATATTTCATTTTCCAATTCATCTGATAACCTCTTTCAGAATTTCGTTAAAAACACCCTACAAATTTTCTGTCTGCAACTTATGCAAATTGAGTGAAAACAATTCCTGAAAATTTTTTCTTCCTCCCGCCAGCACCAGAGGTGATAAAGAAATTCAAATTAATCATATTAGCCCTTCTTAAATAAACTGCATCTCGTACAACCAGTTGAGGTTACAGAACGTTAATTTCATTTGAATAATAATACAACATACATCTTACTGGAAATGTTTCTACTACTTTTCATGGTTTGACAGGCAATTTTGCTTATTTGCATTTATCTGACTAAGCATTTATTTCATTATTTATTTCTTTTTCTGAATCAAAAGAAGAATTTCTTTTAAAAAATTTACTAGAATTGTTTTGTTTTGATAAAGGCTGAAACGAAAAATCTAGATTGATAATGGAGTTGTTATAAACTAATTAACAATATTTAAAGGGACTGCACTGCGTTTTTTTGACAATACTGAGGACTTTAAATAATTTTTCCATAATCAATTTTCCATTTGTTGTAGGTCTAGACTAATAACTTGCCTGCAACTCCATTTTTCCAAAATACTTATTCTAATTATGAAAGATTGCCTTAAAACTAAAAATTTTAATTATCTTTTGCATATCTTTTTGTTTCAAGTGCCCGAGCTGATCAATGAAGAAAACTCAAATTTTATGTTTTTTAGGCTTTTGGACCTCAATGGAGTTCCTTTTGGAATAATCGTCATTACATTTTCCTAGAATAGACTTTTGTTTGAAAAGTTTTTGCAACAAAAATCTCTATCAGAAAAATTATTGTCTGAAAACATAGAAATCAAAAAGAAAAAAAAATATGGTCATTTTTTCAAATTTTAAACTTCTCAGTTTGAATTGTGATTACTTATAACTTGTTCAATGAAATCAATCATTGAAAAAATGTTTATATATGACACTGAGAACATGATTAATTGAAAAAGCAAAAGAAATATCAATAATCTACTCATTATTTTACTCTTTCCACAATATCTATAACAAATTATGAATTATTGGGAATACAGGGAAGGAGTACTGAGAACAGTATTGGCATATTTGGATTTTTTTCTTATTTTAAACCTTTGTAAGCCTGGTCTTTGGTTTCCAATTATCGGTTCTGTTTTGATTAAAGTATAATTATAAGGTCCAAGAAACTGCCTAAGAAGTATCATTAAGAATTGTTTATGCCGTTTCAAAAAGCAAACAAGGTGTTTTGATCAATAAGTAAGAATCACTCTTGCTTTTATCCCATCTTGAACCAAATAAAACCGTATCATGGGTACAAGTTTTCAGGCACTTCCCTGAAGGTCAGCTTTTTAATAATCTTTAAAGTACTCTTTTTCTATATCAAATCAATTAGAATAATGCTAAATTTAGGGTTTTCAGATTTCTGACATTTTGAACTTGCACCAATGACGATTTTGATTCTAAACATCTTCATAGAGTTATTTCTAGTGAAAAAATAAATCTTGTACTTACTGTTAACATTGAGATATATCCAAGTTCCGTTGGATTTTTTTTTATCATTTTCTACACCATCTATAAATTTTACTTTGCACTCGTACCAGCCTTCATCATACTCCTGAATATGACTTATTTCTAAAGATATTCCATTTACTAAGCGCACTCTGTCTGTGTATAGTTCGTTGACGTTTGGAGGGTAGCCGTAAAATTGAAGTAAAACGGGATCTTTTAGTCCGTCTTTTTTCCATTCTATTACATAGTTGACTGGCATGCCTTGGGGAAATTGCAGGTGACAGTCTAGTACTTGCTGGCCGCCTAAGCTTGAGGCCTTTGAATTTGCTTGGATACACAATATTCCTGAAAAATAGAATTATAGTAATTAATTTTTAAGATTCATATTTTATAACTTTATATGTATGACATATAGCTAGTAATTTTTAAAATTCATATTTATTAACTTTATACTTTATATGTATGACACTGTATAATAGCTAGGACACTGGGCTTTTAACAAATCACAAATACACAAATCAAAATTTTATCAATTAACCAAATTATAATTTAGTTAATTGACATTATTTCATTTAGTTCCATTATGTAACAAGACTTTGAAACTTATAGTAATCAATTATTTAAATACTTCTCATATCTGAGTATACTTTCTTGAGGAACTCATTAGTACTAAGTATCATATGAGAAAAACATCGTCATCGCTCGAGGAAGGACACAAACCCAAAACGTCTAGGGTTGAGAGGCAAACATCTTAATTGCGACAGACCACTGCTATGCTTCTATTTAATTGATTTAAATTAATATCCCAGCTTCAAATAAAAACAATGATGATTTTCCCCCCACAGAATTGAATTCTGAAAATTTCACAATGTCATAGCTTACAGTTACTATTGATGAGATTATTTAAGGAAAAGCAAATTGCTCTGAAATTACCTAAATTACACATGTTTTTTTTGCCCCCCAGAAGGCAAAAGTATACTTATTTCTATGAAGCCATCGGAATTTTGCAAAATTTGTGACAAAAGCATTATTCTTGGACTATTAAACACCATGTTTGTGTAAATGAAAATTCTTCCTATTTTTTGCTAATGATGCTTTTTCCCTGAGGGCATTGCAAACATTTTTAAACAATTACACTGACTTCAAAATGACACTTAATTTTACAGACATTTCTTGTAAACAGAAAGCTACATGCATCCTCCTTTTCTTTGAAGAGTCTGTGCTAAAATAAAGGTTTGTTAAATTGAAAGTGAAAACAATGACAACGACTGGCAAAGTCAATGAAATCAGTCAGACGCAAAAAATAACACAATTTACGCTTAGATTTCAACTGAAAAAGGCCATTTCAAATGGTTAAAAGTGTTAGCTTTAACGGCTTTTTTCTTCCAATTGTTCTTAAAAGTATGTCAGTATCTAAAGTCCATGGGTTTAACTGAATGCATATTTGCACAAATCAATTATCCAGAACATATCCACAAGAAGTACCTAGTACTTTGAGATATTAAATGTCAGAGTAACAAGTCAGTGATTTTTACTGAATACAGGTATCACAAGTAAATGTCTTTACCTGAATAAATGCATAAACAATATCAAATAGCAGTCTTATATGGAATAAATGCATAAACAATATCAAATAACACAGTCTTATACTGAATAAATGCAAAAACAAAGTCAAATATCACAGTCTTTTACTGAATAAATTCTATCAAATAGCACAATCATAATATTGAATCAAATCAATCAAATAATACAGTCTTACACTGAATAAAATCAATCAAATAATACAGTCTTATACTGAATAAATTCTATCAAATAGCACTTGAGTCTTATAATACTGAATAAATGCATAAAACAATATAAAATAGCACAGTCTTTTACTGCATACATTCTATCAAATAACACAGTCTTATACTGAATAAATTAGATCAAATAACACAGTCTTATACTGAATACCCGCACTCCAGTTAACGCACTGTGCATGTATATGTATACGATTTAACCCTGACACATTTTCATTAGAAAGGTCTCCAAACTATGATACAAATTAGATCAAATAACACAGTCTTATACTGAATAAATGCATAGACAATATCAAACAGCACAGACTTATACTGAATAAATTATATAAAATAGCACAGACTTATACTGAATAAATTCTATCAAATAACACAGTCTTATAATGAAAAAATGCATAGACAATGACAAATATCACAGTCCTACACCTGAATAGACAACAATCTCATTATTGCTGGATCATAATGTTTCACTTTGAGAGAATGTCAAAATTAATTCTCATGTCAGTGTGACATTATGTCTTTGAACTATATAGACAAAATATTGTCAATTAAGTAGAGTAACAGTTAACTTCTTTTAAAATTCAATTAGAGTTAACCTGTTACTGCAATCAGGTGACAATAATGTTATTAAATGTTAATGTGACATAGCAAGAAGTCAATGTTTCTGTCCATAATTTAAATTATACCTATGATATCTACTTAGTTACGCAGCCTTCATTAAATAAACAACTGTTTGCTTGAAACTTTCTTAAGATATTTTTATTATTATTAATGTTAATGTTATACATTGATTTATCTTTTTGCTCATATTTTATTTAACTTTGAGTAATTGTATAAATGTTTGCATAAGTGTTTGTTTGAAGGTTTCAAGAAAGATAAGATTCATCTAATCCAGTTACGGCGACGGCTTCAGCAAATAAAGTATACATGCTTTTATTTATTCATTCATTCATTCATTTATTATAATGTTAATTATTTTTATAACATTAGATAAATCATAGAATTTTGTCAATGATTTCATTACATAATATTATTACATAACATTTGTTCAAATAATGCATCTTTTTTTGGTTTCCCTCATAAACTGAATGTTTCCGAATAAGTGAATCAATCATCTCAACTTATACTGATTTTTTAAGAAGTTTGTAAAGAGCAATATGCTGATGGCAGTGAGTGTGAGATACAAAATGAGACCTGAGACAAGCCATATCTAGACAGTGTCTTGAGGGAAATGTAACATGTTAATGTCATTTATTTAAAGAGAACAAAAAATGGCACAAAATGTCAATGGTTAAGACTTTATAATGTTATGGTGACACAGTAATAGGGCAATATAATTGTATAACATACACAGACTATAGTCAATGTCACAAAGTTTTCAAATGTCATACATTTAAAGTATACATTATTTTGCCTACATAGATTTGCATAAACATACTGTATGTTTGTAACATCGCTTTTTATTGGATTATTGTGATGTTTATATAATCTAAATACAAGGCTGCAGTTGAGTCTATATTAAGTACTTTCATTTTTTCTCTCATTTATTAGCAAGTGTTCAATACTATAAATTTGTTACAAAGATTCTTGACAGGTTATATGACCATATATAAATGATTATTTGCAATATAACCCACACCTTTATTTATTCAAGCAACCGTTTATATAGGGCAATAAAATCTGTCTAAAATCTTTATAATTAATAATATGTATTACATATAAATCATTTTAAACCCTAACCTGCTGGGGACAACAGATTCTAACCATGTGACCAATGCATATACAGATCAGCTGTTGCAGTCTGCACTGTTTTCTACTAAGTTGGTGAATATTTTGAAATTTACCCTAACAATGGTCAATTAAGTTTTGCTATCCGGACCCAAAGATGGACAAGCCGATTTAAGGTACTCTTTCTGGAATGCTTTCCCGTCAAAAATTATAATATCTGCTAATTTCTTAGCAAATCGGTTATTTTCGGAACATTGTTTTTCAAAATCTTGGGCATTAGATTATTTCCAATCACTCATCCTTTATCGTTAAGTACTAAATTCTGGTTATAAATGCTTAAAAAAATATTGAATACTGAAAATTGTGAAAAATAACGTTCCGTAAATGATATTGGCCAACGTTGTTAGAATTAATTTGGCGAGAAAGCATTACAGCCTTAAGATGGTAAAGGTTAAGGCAATACACTCCTAAATTTAATGTAATAAGTGTAAAATGTAAGGCATACCAGGAGAAATTTCATTGACAATGTTATTACTTCCTCCTTTATCTTTTGCATTCACTAGGTATCAGCGAATAATTGAAAGTGCTTAAATCAACAAGTGCAATAAGATAATGCTATAATTAAAATTGAATCAAAGGAAGAAAATTATACAAAAGGCTGTTGCGATAATAAGTGCAGGAACCTAATGTCATAGGAAAGATAACGAAAGAAATTGCACTCAGATTAATAAAAATTTCTTTTAAGAGATGGCATAAAATTATTTCTTCACAATGGCACTGCATAAAACACTTTCTGTTCGCAAATATAAATGTCCTTTTCAATAAAAATCATTGACAATATTTATGGATGGTTCTAAATACATTGGAGACTGGATATCTGAGGATTCACCACTTTATATTGTCTGCATGCATGTAAATGGCTGTATAAACATAACCGAGTGTTGTCAAACAAATTCTATTTGCTTTAATAAAAGTCCTTAAGGACTGCTAAATGAATATGTATAACAATCATTGGTGGGTGCATAGTTATTAATCAAAGAGATCTCCATCAATTTGTTAAGGGCATCTGGCATAAGCTGTCCTTGAATAAAGACAGAATAAGCGCCTAAAATTATGAGGATGAAACTGTGTTTTTTTTGTTTTTTATTGGAACCTTTGCCCTTTATTTCATATTCATTTTAATGTCCATCATAGTGTAATTTGATAGTTTATTGATACATTATCAAATGAGTGGCTACGATGAATTATAGAGGTTGTTTTTTTATTTTGTTCTATGCATGTATAAAATGTTGGTTTTTATACTTTCAGAATATATAGCAATTTTTATTCTATATCATCATAACAAAATATTCTGTTGAATTTATTATGTCTAATGGACAAAACCTGCTTTGAATTTAAAGCAGTCAATAACTGACTTAGGGGATATTAGTAGTTCATAACATAATAAAATTAAGTAGCCTATTTTTGTATATTGTCTGGTTATGCTACAGGGATGTATACACTGGATTGCTAGCTAGCCAGCTAATCTGTACCATTTGCAGTCAGGTCTGACTTGCTAACTAGCCAGCTAATCTGTACCATTTGCAGTAAGGTCTGGCTTGCTAGCTAACTGATCTATACCATTTGCAGTAAGGTCTGGCTAGCTAGCCAGCTAATCTGTACCATTTGCAGTAAGGTCTGGCTTGCTAGCTAGCCAGCTGATCTGTACCATTTGCAGTAAGGTCTGACTTGCTAGCTAGCCAGCTGATCTGTACCATTTGCAGTAAGGTCTGGCTAGCTAGCCAGCTAATCTGTACCATTTGCAGTCAGGTCTGACTTGCT